GCCGCCAGCAATCACACATCAGTGTCCATAGGCCGGAGGGCACTGACGGCGGACGATCCAGAGTCGCAGGTGGGGAGATGGGGGAGCTGTCCGGAGGGCGGCTGGTTGTGGAAGTGAGGAGCCGAAGCAGGGCTTCTGAGGTCTGTACACTCTCAAAGGGCTTTCGGGTCTCGAGGAAGAACATTTGCCAGAGCAGAAGTCCAAATTCCCAGACGTCAGAGGTCAGATAAAACATCTGCTTAGACAGGGCTTCCGGTGGCAGTATGCGGAAGGGCAGCTGTTTAGCGAAGGTAATGATACGGTAGCAGCCTGCGCTAGCATCGGAGGCCAGGTTTGTGCCATCAGTGGCTGAGGACTCCTGCACTACCGTGACGGCTAATCCAAAGTCACAAATTTTGGGCACCTGACGACTGTCCAGAAGGATATTTCGTGTGGCAATATCGCGATGAATGACAAAATTCTGGCTGAGAAATTCCAGCCCTCGGGCAATACCCTGGGCTATACCCATCAGGAAGGTGCTATAGTCACCATCGATGCGCTGATAGACAAAGGAATTGCCAGTTTGTGCACGTCGATGTCGGGAGAACATCCAACCACTGTCGCGGTAGAGGCCCCTCCAGACGTAAGAACCGGGTGGTTGCGGTTGAAGGACGGAAACATAGCCATCGCTGGAAGTACTGCCTGAAAAGGCCTCGTACGGAAAGGTAGTTGAGGAAAGACGAGTGCTCAGCGTGTTGGAGTTGCCTTCCACGCTCTGAAAGGTCCGAGGAAGGTTGGCTTGGTAGTGCCTTGGGTGAAAAATCCGCACCAGATACTCACTCAGACTTGTGTTCGGGCAGAACTCCATGAGGAGGAGGGAGTCACCCATGTCCTCTCTAGCACCAACGATGCAACCAATCAAACTGACAATATTTGGTCCCCCAGATAGTTTCATCAGGTGCAGGAGTTCATTCCTGAAGCAAGTCAGACTGCTGAGTTCAGCAGAGGGAGTTTTAACAGCAACAAAGAAGGAATCATCAGCTGACTTTTTATTCTTGCGGTCGGACGAGACGTAGACCCCCTTGAGCACAGTGCCATAATGACCCGTTCCTAGCGGCTTTGAAAGCCCCTTTAAATTCCTTCTGTCAAGGCACCACTTCTTCCTCATTTCTTCTGTGGGCATCAACTGCTTAATGAAGAGCTGGTTGGACGAATAAGTAGCACTCGAAACCTCCAGAAGTTGAGACTTGGTCGGTCTGGCATACAGCATATTGTCCATCTGTATTAGCTTTTCCGCAATTGCTACTTTTCGACTCTTTTTATAAATACAGGTGGCGAGACCAATGAACAGACAGAAGCAGAAGATCAGGGGGAAAGTGATCCAGAAGACGGAACTCCGCACGACTCGATGGAACATCAGAGAGTACTTTGAGGAGGCAGAGCCCAGAACAACAATTAGCGAGAGGCTCGACTTGGCTTCACCCGCCAAATTCACAGCCACACATTGGACGGTGATGTTCTGCGTCGAGTTTGGCGGCGAAAGCACTAAGTTGCAGACAGTGG